TATATAATATATGTAAATATTATCTGTATATTTAACAAAAGATATATCGATATATATGTTGACCCACATGTACACATCTATCGCACATTTGCCATCACGAAGTTAAGTGTTTCGTCGTCGTCGTCCCGCAGCGAACTTTTGTTACACCCGCTGCGTTCGAAGAAGATGAGACCGTCTTCTAAAAGAGTCCCGTGCTTCCAGCAGGCGACGAGGGCGAGTATCAACGAATCTCAGAGGCCTCAAGCATGGGCGAAGCGAAGAAGCGCGTGCAGGCGCAAGTGCATGCAGTCCCGACCGACGATCAGATACGGGCGATGCCAAGCAGCAAGGTCCCCAAAATCTACCCGGCCAGCGACTCCGAGGAGCTGTTCTACGGCGACGGGAAGGATGCGAGGAGGCGACGGCGTGCCAGCTGCGACAGTCTCAGCACAACTGGTTCCGGAAACAGTAGGCGGTCGAGCATCGTCGATGGGACGGTAGGTCAACAATCCATCGCACAGGACCCCCGGAAAGCCCTGGTCGTTTTGATCGGATCACGGACGTCGTCGTCTCTCATGCAGAAACAGCGTTCCTGGGAGACCTTCCCGCGACCCAAGAGCAAGCGTGGCGCCGGTAGCGAAGGTTCGGGGGCTTCGTCCCTCGGTCAGCTGAAGAAAGCAGACAGCTTTGAGGGCCACGAGGAAGCGGTGCGCACCTTGGTGGCGGCAGTACAGGAGACGCGATCTCAGCTGCGACACCATCATTTACATCATCATCGTCATCATCGTAAGAGTAAAACGAATTGAGGCGCTTCTTGTCGTTCAGATCGTTCTTGGTCCCTTCGCAACCCCTCCTCGCGCGCAAAAATTACGTAAGGAAATATTGTCCGAAGGGTATCGAATAGATATCCGCGAGCCTATTGCGTATAGATAGAAAAAAGAAAAGAAATGAAAAAGATTGATCAAAAGACTAAATACCGTGCCCCAAGTGGCTTAAGTATAAATGTTATTTATTAGTAAAGAAAGCGTATTGTTGTGAGAGCCGACATATTATCGGTTTTTCGAAGATTTTGGACATTCTATTAGTATAATAATAATAATAATAATGGATATATAAATATGATAATGGTAATGAAAAAGGTCTATATTCTGCGCGATATGGAAAATCAGAAATCTTCGTTATCGAGAGGCACCTCCGTCAAGTGCGCTTTTATCTTTATATTACTTTTCGAGATTCTTTTGAGATCCCGATCAAACGCGTGGTGTTTGTATTAATCCAATTTTTCGATGTTTATATTGTCCTTCGTCAAAGTTGTATACCGCATACGATGACATGCAATTCTCGCGAAGTACCTTTTATATAGCGATTTAATTGCATTCGATGAAAGCGCCGAAGATCGGTATTAATTCCACTATAATTGCTAACTATGTTAGAGATGGAAGAAAGAAAGAGAGTACGATTATCTGCTACTCGTATTGTTGACAAGATCCGCCTAGGGCGGATTATTGATACACATAGAGCCTTGATTAAAGAAAATAAAATGTTTTTTCGGACAAAAACGCGCGTGTGCAATGTACAATAATTGCAAAAGAACCACAGTTGACGTTACAAATAACTGTATACAGACGAATGTATATTTCGTTCTGATCGCGCACATTATTTCGGTTTAGTTATTACAAGAGTCCTCTTCGCATATCCTCGTTTTTCCTCTAATAATTTTCCTCTAAAACACGCGAATCTATTCTCACCATGTCCGTACACGCAATTTTTCTTTTAACGTCAACGGGTCGGATGCATAGTCCAGTAAAATACGTCGCGCGATTTGATCGATCAAGTAAAACGGTAATATTTAGCTAGTAAACAACACTGCCAGTCGCGATATATTATGTCATTACGAATTTAATCGACGATATTCGATTCGCGAAGAATAGCCTAATTCGAGCGTTTACTCGTAATCGCCATCAATAAAAACCCAGCGATCGCCCTACGACGCATGGGTTCGTCACGATTATACTCGTCACAATTATTGACTATAATGTAACGATAATATTATTCCAAACGAGAGGCGCAAGGATAAAAATCGGTATTACGAGGAATCGGCTCTTCCTTGTGAAAGTCAATGCGATCGTTAATCATTGTTTCGAATTTAACTACGAGCAAAGATTTGTAATCTTCAGCAGAGTTACAATGAACGTTCTAATTATAGCGAGTGTACACACGTAAGCATGTATGAGAAATTGTCGAATTTCTGGTATAGTAAAATATATACAAGTTAATAAATATACCCTTGATTTATATATCGTATCTTGGTGTATTAAAAGCGATGCATGAACTTTGTCGCTCACTTCAGTTTTTACAAGTATTCACAGTTGTATACGTACATGTATTAAAAAAAACATGCATATTCGGTATTCCACTTGTTGAATTTTACAGGCAGGCTATAAAGCTGGGAACTTCAACGGATGAAATACGAGAGAACATTTTGGCCTCCGATGTTTGCATTTTTTTCCGGAATTAATACAACGGCAATTAATTAATCTGATAATTGATTGTGATATTTTACACATATTTATTTAAGACTAATATACGTAATTCATTTATACGTAATTGTCGACTTTACACTTGTACACTTCTCTTCTATTTTCACATATTATAGTACAGTACACACAATCGGCCACAATAAAAATTCTCTCTCCGTCGTTTCTTCTTTTTCTTCTTCTCAGGTAAAACATTTCTATATTTCTGGCATCACCACTATAGATAATATCAATAATATCAAATTATTGATACAAAAAGGAAGTCTCATGCAGAAACATATGATACAGCATTTCTGCAAACATAAAGTACATATTTTGTCGCTACTCGTTTAGATATCATATTGTTTCTTTCTTTTTTGTTTTTGTTTCATCGATATTAGTTTCATTAACTTCGAACTTGTCAGAAATTTCGTAGGAATTTTCGTAGGAATTTTTCAAGTATTCTTCGATATTTTTCGTTTGTCCTTTTGTAGTATTCGATTTCTTCAGATCTCCGTTATCATTATTTATTTTCAATAATGACATGATACCCCAGTTGTTACTTTCGAATTTGTTAGTGGTTTCTAGCGCGTGAATCGCGTCGTGCGTCTTCGAAATTATACGATTCAATTCATAGAAATTTACATTTTTGGAAACGTTCAATGTCGTTTCTAAAGGATTGGTAATATGGAGTGCCGAGCGTGATGGTTTTCGAATCTGTATACCCTCGCGGATGCATATTCCATATGTTTGAAAATCGAATGTCGAATAATACTCAAAGAAATCGTATAGAAGTTTCTCCAGACTATCCTGATTTATATCATATTTATAATTCAGTGGCAATTTGTTAACATCCCGCAAGAAGGTGCAATCGATGCCATTCTCTGCGCAACGAACGTCATCGTGAGCTATATAAAAGAAAATACAATTTACTAATCAGACGTTATGTAACTCTTTTCTTTATGATATATGTGACTTACTCGAATATAACTTTAATATTTTTAAGGACGGCAATATCTTCTTTTGCTGTAAGAAGAACAGTACTAACAACGTAAGAGGAAAATTTGTTATCCATTGTCCTGGTACGTCGAATGTTAATTCCTGACTCTTCGCCCATGCTCGTATTGTTATAACAAGCGGTCTTATTCGCCAATCCATTTCTCCATACAAATTTAGTAATTCGGTCATATATATAGCAGTCCTATAGAAGAGATCAGTATTGACATTTTTGTCTTTTTAACTCTTTAACTACAGTTGTAAAAATTACATTTAGTTTTAATATCCTATTTCAATTACAAAACGTAAATAAATCTTAAAACGTAAATAAAACATAAATAATCTTCGATGATTGATAAAGGAAGGTTCAAAATTTTTTTCCCTACAATTTAGAATCTCATAGTACTAATGACTGCAGATTGTATAAAATTTGATGTTTTGAGTCCAAATGACTATTGTTATAGTTGAGAGTTCATTACAAAAAAAAAACAACAAATCCTACAATCCTACAAATCAAATAAAATTGAAATATGTCTTGACTTACATATTTGTTGCACTTAAATCACATTCAGTTTGTGTGTAGTTATAACAGAATTTAATTATTGGTACTCGAGCTTCCAGAATCCTTCTGACATTAAGAATACCAGGGATGAAATACTGCATGCTGTTTGCGAGTATTCCCAAAAATTCTTTCGTTTCATTATTATTATTCATTTGCCTATCATTATTATTCATTAACTTTGAGTGAAATACCAATCTACTCGTGACATTACACTACAAATGTTACAATTCATTAATAAGTAGGATTAAGTACGTGAACATTTAATTAATTTGAACATTACTTATATATTTACTTCTTCAGTGTTGGGAATAAGAACTAAATCAAGATCACACCTTCTCCTTCCAAAACCATTTATAGAGGAACCAAATGGCAAAATCTTTATATTATCAAATAGTCTAGAAAAGTATTGCTCTAAATGATGAGCAGTATGAAACCTCAGTCTTACTTCTAAATCGGTTAATTTCATCATCTCATAAAGAATTATTATCTGCGCTGATATCTGCAAAGGTTATAAGTTTACAAGGCTAAATATTTCGAATAATCCTAACTGTAACATAAATGAGCTTACCGATTTAGCATTATATAATTGCTTTGCTTTCTCCTTTTCGTTAGGCAATGCACAACCATTTTCCACAAATAAAGATACCTTTCTCTGATTATTTTTCTGTGGTGTAATAATTTGTCCTTTACGAAACCATAATATTGAGGATTTTACAGATATAATGTCTTCTTTTATAAAAGAAGCAGATGACATAATTTCTTTTATCGACACTATGTCTTTAAACTCAACCAAAATATAATTCTGAAATTAATCACAATATGATACTTTTCTAACATATTATTTAATATTAATGTATTAATGTTGCATTTAATTTTGGATAAACAATAGCTGACATACTTGTTGATTATTTATATGATAATGATGCATACTCGAGATGTCTCCAAATTTCAAACAATAATTATGAAGATCATTGTATGATTTCGACGAATGTACTTGTATCAATAAGCTTCGAGATGCCTGATTTCTTCTTTTGATGATTTCAATCTCGTGTGTGCTTTCTATAATTGTAATTGTCAGATATAGATCTTGGAAAACAGAGAATAACTGTGATATATGAGAAAGATCAGTATGATTAGAGAATATTAATTCATGCTGCATTCTCAATAATTATATTGACGCTAGTAAATTGTTTTGAAAAGGATCTGTTCATTTTAACTGAATTTCTTGCAGTTTTTTCTTTTTCTCTTCAATATGAAAAAAAAAATATATAAAATGAATTAAACAAGTACAATTAAAAAAAATATTGTTATATTATTTTTTTTTGCTTCTCGTCACCGGGTAATGAACTTTAATGCTTTTGATTTATTTTTTCAGGTTATGTAGCACAAAACTTTTTGATCTGAAGTATAGTTTTTATCACTTTGCCTATTTTTATAATAATCTTGTGATATAAAAGTTCGTTTGAGTATCTGTAATCTCTCATTTTTATATTAATATTTCGTTCTGATATTATTATTGCTTTATGACATCAATTTGTAAGTTTATAGGTTATACGCTGAACTTATCATATAACGTACCTTGTTTATTGTTCTTATATTCTTTGACAGTTGATATTGAGATGTGATTGTGCGACTTTAATCTACTTGTGACCATTATGAACTTCTTGCAATAACAGTGATTTAACAATGAAATGGTATTCGAATTAACACGGCCAAAAAGCGCCATTTTTAAATATGCACATAGTTCCGTGTACACAAGTGAAGTGTGCACTACGCACATGTGCGAATAGAATTATAGGTCATCGAGACTTTCCTGCACTGCACTCTCTGAACTGGTGCACATGAGAGATCTGTTTTCTGTGGCTGAACTAGTGTACACTTTTGGAACTTGAAGTGAGATAGGTTTGATATTTATTATATTTGTTGAAGAAAGAGAGTGCTAGTACAATAGAAAACAGATCAGAGGTCTGTTCTTTTTGGCTGAACTTTGCACCAGTTCATCTTTCTTTTTCTTTTTTCTTTCTGGAGAGAAAAGGAAGAAAGATGAACTAGTACAAAAGTTCCAAAAAAAACAGGTCTATGGTGTGATAAGTTGAAGCAAAACAAATATACGTTTGTTTCATTTCAATTTATTGCACAGTGTACATCTATTCAGAGAATACAAAAATAAAAAAATAAACGCACTGCATATCTTACACTGCAGTGCATTAATTCGCTGGATCATAGTAGCGGCCCGACTTCTCAACGTTTATTTTTTACTATCAACTTTACAGAAAAACTGCAAGAGACAAAAAAATCATTAATTTTCTTCTCACAGAACTCTAAGAATTTTTTCAAAATTTTTTATCAATTTTTTAATACTGCATTTATTCTTTATTTCTACCTTTTGAATGCCCAGCAAATGAGAATGAATTAAAATGGATTCAAATTTTTTTCTATCCGAATGCGTATTTTAAATAGCGAATACTTTTTTTTCGATTTAATTGGATTCAATTGGATTCAATTAGATTCAATTGGATGCAATTGGATTAAAAAACTGCATTTCTTATTCAAAATTTTGAATTGAACAGTGTTCACAATGTGTGTGTTGAGCACAGAAAAAGCTAATATTATTTTTAGATTGAAAAGCATAGAGATATGTTCCATGCAATTCCTATAAATGAATAAAAATGCATTCAGGATTAAAAAGCATTCATTTTAACATTCGTGAATCAATATTTCTGAAAATTCCATTTCAATTCATTTCAATCAATTTTCGCTCGGTGGAGAATTCAATGAATTATAATAAATCGTCTTTTGTTTGATTATGTTATTTTGATATTTAATCGACTTTTGTGAATTGAAATTTTATTGATATAATAATATTATAAAGTATAATTATTTATGACTGGTAAATTTACCAGTCTTTACATTTAGTGATTTTGTCGATTGTCTGTATAAATTCATCTATTGTTATATAATTATCAAAGTTTATATACTTATACAATTATCATAATATTACACAATTATCAAGATCTATACCTTATAGCATTATTTATAATTATCAAAGTCTATAAAGGACCGATAAAAATATTAATTCAAAATCAATAAAGTAAGATCAGAGTAACATAATTAACTAATAATATAAGAAGTGGCACTAAATGCAATTTCAAAAATTTTTTCTTCTGGATTTTCGAGCAACATTGAATTCTCAAAAAAATCAATAAAATATTTTTAAGAAATACAATTAATATAGAAATGGTTTTAATTTAAAAATATTGAAAATCACAATTCCTGAAATTTTATATTTTGGAATAATTTTTATATAATTATTAATTAAACATCTCAGATATGAAGTTTCCACTTTTTTTCTACTTTACTTTGGATCAATTTTTGTAATTTTAACGCTGAAAAAGAGACCGCATTTATATGTTTAAATATATTATATTTTGTTTTTCTTTTTTTTATATTCTCTCCAGGTGTGCAACATACATCTTGAATCATTATTACTGTATAACAATTATAATTGTAGTTTGATGATTAACACGGATGATTAATCGGGAATTTACAACTGTCTGTTGTCCCATACGACTCGCGGCGCGACGTACAATACGCCCGATAGTGGGAAGTGATAACGATGAGCGATAAAGATTGAATTGCGCCGCTTGTATGAAATGACCGTCGTGAGATGACCATCTATGATTTCTTCTTCTGACCTAAGGAAGCGCAGACGATGTGGAAACTGGACTCGTACGAGCTCACGCATCCGGAATCGCTGTCAGAGCATCAGCTCCGCGAGATTCTGAAGAACGTAAGTTGTCGCATAGGTTAGGCATGTTTACAAACTTCTCTCGACTTATCTATTATTCTTTTCTGTTTTCTTATCCGATTTTATTGGAAGATTAAATTATCTTTTAATGTATGTGAGAGTCGTTGTCTGAATTATTTCAGACTTCAACAAATGTTAAAATGACACAAATTTAAGTTAAATGTCAAAGATAGATTTTATGAATTATATTTTTATATAAATTTATAAACCAGAATAACATATTCTAAATTATTATTTGTAAAATGGAAAAAACAATGATAATATATGTTTGTTATGAATTAATGATAATATTTGTTATAATAAGAATAATTTATAATAAAAGCATGACATTTAAATTTCAGACATATTTTATGATGTCTCAATTACATCTTCATATCTTTTTTCATTATAGAGTTGCATTGAGATCTTTAAGTTTGAAAAACTATGTAAAAGTGAGTTGCTGGAAATGTACAAACGAGTTGCAATGCCTTTACCTCAGCGGCAACATGGAAATGCAAAGAATATAGATATGATATCAGAGAATTCCATTACAGTTATAAGGTAAGTTTTTATATAAAGAATATATTATTTAGGTAAAGAATATCTTAAATAAAGATAATAAAAAATATTTTACTATGTTAACATTAATTAAATTTGTCTTTCTTTTAGTGATAATGATAGGCACAGTTTAGCTGCAGACTTGAACAAAGGAAATAAGAGGATATTTCAAACATCTCAACCTCAGATAGATACAAAACCTCTTCTTAACGATCAGAAATCAGTGAGCAAGAAGATTCGATTATGTTCAACGCCAAAAGAAATTGGGTGTAATGGAATTTATAAACGCAATTATGGAGAACAGAGCGAGGTATCATATCTTAATCTTTTATAGTTCAGATAAGTCAAATAATTAGATAAGGTAAGAGAGGTAAGACTAACAGTCTACTTACCTCTAGATAAAGTTTGAGTTTTCTACAAATAAGATTCTGAGATAAGATTTTTTTATTATAATATAACATGTAAGTTTATAAAATGAAATATTTACAAAGACTATTTGTTTCTATTAAGATGTAATATTATATAAGTTTTACAATAATCTTAATTTGTAAGTGAATAATAGCAGATGTATTTGAACCTTTCAGGAATCTCTACCGAAAAAACGTCAGAAAATAACATGGCCATGAACAAGAAAAATATATGCTCTACTTCTTTTTAAATCTGTTACTATAGAAATTCAATTTTAAATAGTAACATGCTAATGCAATAATTTTTATATCATATGATTGAACTTGTAATTTAATCGGTATATGAAGAATATTCACACGAATGTATATTCACACGAATATTTTTAAGAATAAGATTGCTTGCTAATCTTGTCCTTAAAATACTCGTGTGAATACAAACCATTTATAATACTTTGAGACCCAATTGTTCCACTTTTTGGTAAATTTTACCTATTGGATAAGTAGCAAGATTACCCAATCACATGCGTGGATTACAGATTTACTTAACAGATAAAAAGATGGAACAATCAGCCTTAAATCATGATTTAAACAGATTGACAAACATTAATATGACTAATAATTTTTATGTTTCTCGATTATTTTAATATTCGAATAATGTAAAAATGATAGATTCTATGTGATGATTTTATAAGTAGGTCTGATTTATATTTTGTATAAATTTATTATACAATTTGCGTAAAGAAAACGGAAATTTAATTAGGTATGACTGTTAGATTTGGCAGCTGGCGATATATACAGAAAAAACTGATATTACGTTTAATATATATATATCTGCACATTGCTATATCAGTTTATTTTTAATGTAATCGAACAATCGTCATACATGACAATTTTGTTTGTTAGACATTGAATTAACGCAGTATTTGATGTTAAATGAATCGACAGAGGCGTGCGTCAGATAACTTTATTGTTTTGTGACATATGGAGATGTGAACAGTATTCAATAACGATAAAGTTACTTAAAACGATTATTTGTAATACGTAATATCATTCGTTTATTCATATTGTATGCACTGCTTATAAAGTGGAAGTATCGTTAGCGTTTGTAAATTTAGAACATGTACATGCACATATTAGGTCTGTTCTTTGTAGCTGCATTACTTTGTATTTTCTACGCTTTAAATGAAATAAATATTTAATTAAAGATTGAAGAGAAGGAAAAAGAATTTAGCTACAAAGAATAACTTATTGCACCGATTGAAGTTTGTGCTGCGCAGGATCTACGCAGTGTACACATCATCTTTTTATATGCATTGATCGATAAGATTTAAATTACCCGTTCAAGTATGAATAAATGATCTTAATTGTTTTAATGTTGAATAAAAGTATCAATGCGAATGTGTGTTTATTATATGTGTATAATAGTAATGCTGACATAATATTAAAATCTTTAGCCTCAAAAAAATAGCCTCTTTTAAAGCTTCCATTGAAAGAACACATACATATATAATCTTATAAAAAATTCTAATATATCGTTAATTTCTTTTCTTCTCTAAATATTTATAAAAGGATGTAATTTCCGAACATTTTAAATTGTATCATATGTTTGATGTAATCCAGTTATGTAGTATAACACATACAATTAATTATATAAATCCGTAACGGAATCTTTTTCGAGATAGAGAAAGACGAGACGAAGAAGCGATAACACGTTACGTAAGTGAGAGTGGTTT